ATTTTAAGAGTATGAGTTTATATTATTTGGCTGCTACTACAAATTCCCGCTTGTGGTGATGATATAAGCCACTTCGATCAGCTATCATGTGTGGCCAGGTCGCCTCTGAAAGAGAGCTAATAGCTCAGTTTGGCTTTAGGAGTGGGCATCATCGCACCTCCGATTAAAACGGTTGGCTGCGTACGATGCGCAAAAAAGTTCAACATGCATGCATCCGTAGCCGATAAATAAAATAGTACATTTTATATTTTAAAAGCACCGTGCAGAAGCGGAGCTACGCATGGAGCTGCGGCCGCACGTTGCATGGCGAGGGGGCGGGGGGCGGGGTGAAAGTGTCTCACGCACACGGGAATGTGCGTTCCGCGTGGGGCGTTATCACGCGCAAAATACATCCAAGAGCCACGCGTTATCGCCCCGGCATTCTCTCGGAGCGCGTGCCCCGAAAAATGAACCCAACAATAGCGCCCGCGTCAAGGGCTTGCAGCGTGCGTGCGAGCGTGCGAGCGAGCGAGCGCTGCTATAGCTCTGAGAGCTGGTAAAGCCGTCCCCATTATGTCGAGGGGTGCGCAGACTTGGATTTTTAAAAAAAAAGTATCTTGAAGTATAGGATGTTGATTAAGGTGGCCTATGTGCATGGGACTTTTTTTTATTAGTTTATTTTTTGGTTTGATCATTGTGTAGGTGTATTTTACTTTCGTTACAACTGTAACCCCTCCACGACCCCAACAGAGCCAATCAAATCTAGCTGCCACCTCATGGGCAAATATGACGAATGATTTGTGTTTTTAGCAAAACTGGAGGAGAAACGTTGAAAAGCAAAAACAATATTTTTTTCGTGGACATTTGTACAGAATCATCAAAACGAAGGTTAATGAACTTTTGTTTGGGTTAGACAGCGTAAATATAAACGTGTCGTTACGCCACACCATCACACGACACAGACAATTAGTAAGGTTTGTCACGTAAAACAAAACGTGCCATTTACTTACTAGTTCAGCACATCGGTGTGTTGGAGAGTAAATATAAATGAAATTTACAATTAAATTTATATTTATGCGATCTTACAGCCCCTGGAGTTTGTTTCTGCGTCGTGCATTTTTGACGATTCTTTTCATACCAAAATTAAAGTGTTTGTTTCATAGTACCCACGTGTTGTCACTCCTCCCTGAATCAGTGCTGGAAATGACACATTTACATGTAAGGGGGGCCAAGCCTCTCAACTCGACAAACAATGTTGACTTCACACAAAGCGGTACTAATTTTACATACCCCCCCCGCCACGCCCCGGAGGGTGATGGGCTGATTTGAACGGAGCAATCTTCCGATGTCAGAGTTAAGCGCTCTCTTAAAGCCAGTGCCAAACAAGGACGATATTTTGACGAAAGCACTCCCTCATTTTTACAAACCGAGCTGGTGTGAGTTACAGTTTCAAAGTAAACATATGACACAACTGAACTAAGCCTGGCAGCCCTTCAACAGAGCTCCTTTTATCAACGTGAACGCTGCTCTTTCAGGCTCCGTGAGGAGTAATTCACCGCGCGCCAATCATCTGACATTTTCTAGGAGAAATTTCATTCCTGAAACGGTGACCTAGACAAGCGACGTGCTGAGGATGTTGGACGTGCGTGGTCTCGCTGGGCATTAAAATCTGGTTCAATCGCAAGATAACTGTCTGAAATAAATTTAGAATTCTTAGCAGCTTTGCGGTGACATGGCCATTAGGAATATCCGTAGCCAGGTGGTCATCTGTTGATAGTCCAGACCGTGATTTTATGATGGAAACAGTGAATCCAGCTGTGAATGTTTGTATGCTGAACTTCTTTTGCGCCGTAAAGTAGCTCCTTATTGGAGGTTCAGGGGAAGGACAACAAACTAAACACAAAAAGCAGTTATAAAGAAATCAGTTTTCAATCTAGATGATTTAAAAAAAGCGCATCCCAGCTCCAGCGGCTTCCTAATATCGGAAGGAAGAGCGTTCCAGGCGGCCGCAGAAGCGCTCCCGAAGGCGCGCGATGCGGTGACCCGTCTTTGTTCGATGTCTCGGACGTCGTGCCCAAGCCCCCATTCTAACAACGAAACACCAGCCGAGGGTTCGGGCGGCCACAATGGTCACCCTGCCTGTGGACAGACTGGCCCCTGTCGTGCATGCAATTGATGCCACTGGCTGAGGACAGGCCAATGAAGATGAACGCAACCCATTCTAGGACGCAACTGCCACCTTTGGCTTCTCTTAACACAAATTATTTGATGATATTGATGATGATGATGATGATGCTGCCGTCGCTGCGTTCACAGCGGTGCACAAGCACAGCTGGCGCATTTTGTCAATAGCCCCGTGTGCGTGGGCTTAAATGAAAAATATATATAACACGTGACGTTTCGAGCAATAGCCCGCCTTCGTGGCAACGTACGGTGCGAAGGAAGTTCAACGTACATACATACAGAGCGCACAGGTCATCTACGTGCTACGAATCTACGTAGGGCAAGTCCTCGCTTAACGCGTGTTAAGCGGTCGGTTAAGCGGTCGACGACGAACTACTTGAGCTGCGCGGCTGAGCGGTGCAGTGATACGGCACGCGGAGTGATGCAGTGATACGGCACGCGGAGTGATACAGTAACACGGCGGCGTACCCTCAGTTACTTGTCCCGCCATCTCACTGTGTGGTGTGCGTAGTAGCAGCGCGTCGTACCTCGTCAAACTTTATCATATATTTTTTTTATTATATATTTTTTTTCTTTTAAGGCCAGAGTGTTGTTGACCACGTGTTGGTTTTTTTTGTTTGCGGGGGTATTATAGTTCCTGTATTATCGACGCGACTGTTAATGTTTTTGTTGTTGTAGTAATTTTCTTATTGCCAATGGCATATTTTTAGCGATCAAAACCGCAATGCGGCATCTGTTATCGAAACTGAATGTGAATTTAAGGGCTTTGCATGCCCACGTACCTTGCGCAATGACTCAACTCAACAAGCCACACTCTTGACCGTTGCACGGCCGAATGCACAGTGTCGATAGCCTCGCGTTTCAAATCAGATGAGGTTAAAAACCATTCGCAGATATGCGTTGCGCAGAATTACTTCCTCGGCCTTCTGTGCTGTGTTAAAATACTCATTTGTCCCGCATACCGTTCTCCTTCTCCGCACCTCCGATTAGCACGGCTGGCTACGTACGATGCGAAGGAAGTTCAACGTACATACGCGCATATTAGTTGCATTATACAGTAATCCTGTCCATTGGATGGCCATATAAACCACTTTAAAAAAGAGAACAGAGATCGACTTGAGTGGGAAGAGATTGGGTGTGTGAGGCAGGAAACGTGAATGTTTCACTGTATGGGTCATAACAATTGACTGTGGCAAAGCAACTAGAAGCAACGCCTCCAGCCTACAGGCACCGGTGAATGTACGTATGTTGAACTTCTTTCGCACCGTACGTAGCCAACCGTGAATTTGGAGGATGCTGGGAATGTGGTGGCAGGACAGAACAAAGCAACTGGTAAATGATGCCGAGTCGGATGCGGCGGGAAGGCATTGTAGACGCAGGGGGAGGGGTTACGGTGGGTGGGATGAGTGTGCGCGGGTCAAAGGCTTCATGCCAGACGGTGGGATACAGGCAGAGGGGACCTTGGAGGTCACGTGTCGACCGTGCGACGGTTGCGGGATGTGGCAGAAGGAAGCGGTGGCATCACTGCTGACATTTTGACCATCTGGAACGCTCTTCCTTCCAATATTAGGAAGCCACTGGAGCTATTATGCACTTTCAAATCTAGTTTGAAAACGCATTTCCTTAGAACAGTTTTTTGTGTTTAGTTTGTTGTACTTCCCTCGCACCCCTGATGACCACGGCTCGCTAGGTACGGTGCAAAAGAAGTGAAACATACATACACTGTCCGTGACGACCTCTTGACCACAATGAATTAAACAGGCGTGCGTTGGCATAACGCCTCCATAGCCTATACAGATAACCATAGTAGTAGTTGAAGTAATAATCGCTGAGCAATCAATGGGCCCCTTTTGAATGTTCCTCCAGGTTTGATGATCCATCGCCCCTAGCCAGGCCTCCTTCGATAGGAACTGCCCGCACCACCGAGCGAGATGATGACGACTCGCGAGCACCAGGCTGAGCGTGGGCGTCCCTTTGGGGGGAGAGCCCACGTCCGCTCGGGTTGTGTTCCGGATCTCTTTTCGACGCTCGACCCCAGGGGCAAGGCGAGCCGGAACACACGTCCGGTTGAAGACGAGAGCACCAACACGGAGATGTTGGGGAGATCAGCGCGGGACGTCACGGTGACATTTGGGTGATCAAGCCACGCCACCTGATCCCAGCGCCGCGCAGTTGGCAGCGCATATGGAAAGCCTTCAGACGCTTGATGTCGGACACAAGCAGTGTCCAGGTCACTGGGCTACAGAGTGCACACGGTAGGATGTTGTAGATGCGTGGCTTTGACCCGAGGCAGAGTCTCCTAGATATATATTTTTTTATTTCACCAGATAAGGCCCACTAGTGATTACACGCCATACCGGGTAGTCATTTAAGGCTGCGTCGGCCAAGGTGAGGCTCGGCACCGGTCCGAATATTCGCCACTGTTAACGGTCGTGAGCAAAAATGGAAGTCGTGTCGCCGGGTTCATAGCGCAGTGCACAAACCACTGCGCCACCACTCCACCACCCAATCACCAGCATCGTCACCTCCATCATCGCCAACTCCATAGTAAAGGGTTTTTTGGGTTAGATCGTGCAAATATAAACGTGTCGTTATCCCGCCACTACTTGGCACAGCCAATTAGTAAGGTTTGTCACGTAAACAGAACGTGCCAAGATGTGCCCAACTGTGACGTTTCGCTGGCGATTACAACAACCAGCTTCATCAGGCGATTTGCCGGGGACAGTGAAGAAGCATTCCTGTTTCAGTCTTAACCAAAGCGAAGGTGATGTCATCACCGAATCACCACCACCATCAGCGCTAGCAGCACCGTGACCCTGACGGACGGCGTCTCGTACCAGAGAGGTCGTCGGGCTCCAGCCCCGTGTTGGTGTCGAGGCCGCACACCACGAGGTAATCGAGCAGACGCCCTCCCATGCCGCTCATCACGGGAGCCACTGCAGCGGAGGACTGGGTCAGCGCACACACGACACACACACACACACACAGTTACGCGTTACTACAATAGAGACAACTCGCACCACGCACACACCACGCAGTGCTGTGTGCGTTGCAATAGAGCTGGGCATTGGAACGGTCGCCCGGACAGAATGAAATGTGCCACCAGTCTCAACACGCTTACGTAGCCGACCGTGCTCAGCTCCGATGAGCTCGGTTGGCAACATACGGCGTGAAAGATGTTGGGGAGATCGCATACAAGTGAAACGACACACTTGCACACAATGCCTGCGACTGTTATGACTGGGATACATTCAACGTGATCCAGCAGTGTGCACTATGTAATTACAGCGACAGATTCGCATTAGTCAAAAGCATTTAATCACAGTGCGTATTTACGCATTATTTATGCATTTTCCCGTTGTGTGATATTCGTCGTACAAATGCATAAGTTGTAGATTTCAAATGTTTATTTCCAGTCCATGCCATGACGTGCGTCTGCTTTGCATTGTGTCAATGATATGTTCCATCGTCTCGAATGATACAGAAGATTAAATATTCTAATTATAATAAAACTATCTTCTTAATCATAGCTCTATCATCATCATGCCCACTCTAACCTTTGAAATTAGATCACCATCAAGGTCATCATCATCACCTTCAGAGCATTAACCACATTATCGTCTTATTTGCCCTGCAAATCTATATCACCATTGTCGTTATTATAATAATCATCAGCCATGGTCAATCCACTGCTGGATAATATCTTCCCCAAGCCACTGCTCTATCCCATGATACCTGCGATGTTAACAAAACCTCATCATCGCTCTATCACCATCACCATAACCCTCATCATCAGTGACACAAAAAATTAATGACCATAATCATCACGCTCCGTAACGATTTTGACATTGACTTCATAATCACGACGATATCAACACTTGTCACCGTGACCAACATAACCGCCATCCTTACTATATGCATCTTTGTGAATAAACCACGCAACACCCGTTTACTTCACGGGGGACACGTTGTGGAGCACATTATGTACATGCTGCGTGGAACACCCATATGATTGATGCGCACCTTACTCACAAAATGCAGGCAAAAGGTTATCCCATTCATATATGGCTACTTGCAACACATTCACGAAGAGTTTCGGAATGTTAACTTTTAGGATTTGGGATTTACGAGGACAATTTATTTTCTCCAAAATTATTTCAGCAATAATTTAAGCGCGGCTCCGTGCTTACAGAAGTGACGTCACCCGCGACGCCACGTGACACACCGCGATTGGGCCCGGTATGATACAAGCCACGTACAAGTCTTTTAACTAAGATATGTTAACATACTCTTTGGTTCTATTCGGTAAAGTCACGTAGGTAAAAAATAAAACAACAAAAATCACGACGTTTCGGCCACAACACAAGTGGCCTTCATCAGGTGAAGGGACCGGACTGTCCAGAGGACAGCGTTGGAGTGAAGACAGCCAAGCCCAGGTCGCGTCCTTTAAGCTGTGTGGGAGGAAACAAAAAACGCCTTGATAAAGGAATTAGCATAAAATGATGTACTACTGTGAAAGTTTGGGATACCACTACTTGAATAAATATACTGTACGATTGAAATTTAGTTTAATGTTTGGTTCGATTTAGAACATCTTTCCAATTATTGCTTAATTTGAAACCATCCTCTCGGTTAAAATTGTGTCTGTGTTTGTAAATCTGAATTGCCTCGTGTGCTCACGAATTCGGTCGGAGACATGTCGTTTCGTCTCCCCGATATAGCAGTCACCGCAGGTACAACTCAATTTGTAAACCCCGGGGTACTGTAAGTCAGGAATGACATCCTTCACGGAAGGGATCAGGTCACGGATTTTGTGTACTGTATTGAACCGGACTAGGATCTTGTGTTTGTTTAGAATTTTGGAGATCTTTTTAGTAATGCCTGCTATATATGGTAGTGTGATGGTTTTGATCGGAGTATCAAGTGGTTGTTTCTGTATGGAGGGAGAAACAGCTTGGCGGATGGTACGGTCCGAGTATCCGTTCCTCTTGAGGGCCAGATGTACATGTTTTAATTCACTGGTCAGGTGGCGTTGGTCCAAAATGCAATGAGCCCTGTGGTATAACGTTTTGATGAGAGAATTATTTTGAATCGGGTGGTGGTGGGAATCAGGTTTCAAGTAGGAATCTGTGTGGGTGGGTTTCCTGTAGACAGAATGTCCCAATGAGCCATCAGGTCTCCTCTCAAACAGAACATCCAAGAATGGCAGCTTGCCATCTTTCTCCACTTCCATGGTGAATTTTATGGCGGGGTGTCTGGAATTGATGTGGTCTAGGAAAAGGTTCAAAGCTGGGAGGCCATGTGGCCAAATGACGAAAGTGTCGTCTACATTTCTCTTCCACAGGGAAGGTCTGAGGGTGGAAGTCTGGATGGTGTCTGATTCAAATGTCTCCATGAAAACATTGGCTATCACTGGTGACAAGGGGGAACCCATTGGGGTACCCTCATTCTGTTTGTAGAAGGTGCCATTCCAAGTAAAGTAGGTATTGGTGAGGCAGTGTCTAACCAGCGCAGGTGTATCGTGGTCTAGTCCATGTTGTACCAAATTTTCAATTATTTCAATGGTATCAGGTACCGGGACCTTGGTGAACAGGGAGACCACATCAAAGCTGACAAGGATATCGTCGGGGGACAGGACAACTTATTTGACCATAGAGGCGAATTGGGCTGAGTTAAGTACTGCTGAGGTGGTCTTGCCAGTAAAAGGCAGCAAGGTATCTGACAGAAAACAGGCTAGTCTATAGGTAGGGGAGTTGATCGTGGATACGATGGGTCGAAGTGGGGTGCCTTCTTTATGAATCTTTGGAAGACCATAGAATCTAGGGGGTCTTGCAGCAGAAGGTTTTAGGGAGGGACGTTTAGTTGGTTCGATTAGGGAGGTCGAACTTGTGATGATCTTGTTGGTTTTTATCGCTAGGCTATTGGTAGGGTCATTTTTAATTTTTGAGTAACTTCCATCGTTGAGCAGGTTCTGGATTTTGTTGTTGTATGAATCTTTATCCATAATTACAGTAGCGTTGCCTTTGTCGGCTGAGAGGATGACTATATCATTTCTGTTTTTTTTAAATTCGCGAGTTCAGAGCGTTCATTTTTGCTGATGTTGCTAATAGGTTTCTTAGCATTCTTAAGAATAGTGGCTATTTCAGCTCTCGCAACGTCTGCTTGGATGTGTCCTACGCCTTTGAGGGCTACATCGACCTGAGAGATGATATCATCTACTGGTATATGTTTTGGGGTGACAGCAAAATTTAGCCCTCTAGCCAGTACTGTTTTCAGATTGTCCGAAATCAGGGTGCTACTCTGATTAATGACGATTTTGTTAACGTCTAGTTTTGTTACATGTGGAACTGGATTCTTCTTTGATAGGTGGTTGAATTTAGAAGTCAGGTTAGCTTTGCATTTGACTGACAGTGAATCAGCAGAAGAAGCAGTCATGTTGACTACGTGGTTCCAATCAGAAGGTGACATTTTTTGTGTTAACATTAAATGAGATTGTAGGAGAGTCCTGTCTAAAGTATCGAGTTCAAATCGGAGTAGCCTTATCTGCTCTGAGATTAAAGATAGGCTGGCCTTAAACAGAATCTGTTTAGAATTCGGCGAAGATACAGCAGCAGAAGTGAGTGTGAAAGCGATGGGTATGGCACCTTCTACAAACAAAATGAGGGTACCCCCATGGGTTCCCCCTTGTCACCAGTGATAGCCAATGTTTTCATGGAGAAATTTGAATTTCACGCCATCCAGACTTCCACCCTCAGACCTTCCCTGTGGAAGAGATATGTAGATGACACTTTTGTAATTTGGCCACATGGCCTCCCAGCTTTGAACCTTTTCCTAGACCACATCAATTCCAGACACCCCGCCATAAAATTCACCATGGAAGTGGAGAAAGATGGCAAGCTGCCATTCTTGGATGTTCTGTTTGAGAGGAGACCTGATGGCTCATTGGGACATTCTGTCTACAGGAAACCCACCCAGATTCCTACTTGAAACCTGATTCCCACCACTACCCGACTCAAAAGAATTATCTCATCAAAACGTTATACCACAGGGCTCATTGCATTTCGGACCAACACCACCTGACCAGTGAATTAAAACATGTACATCTGGCCCTCAAGAGGAACGGATACTCTGACCGTACCATCCGCCAAGCTGTTTCTCCCTCCATACAGAAACAACCACTTGATACTCCGATCAAAACCATCACACTACCATATATAGCAGGCGTTACTAAAAAGATCTCCAAAATTCTAAACAAACACAAGATCCTGGTCCGGTTCAATGCAGTACACAAAATCCGTGACCTGATCCCTTCCGTGAAGGATGTCATTCCTGACTTACAGTACCCCGGGGTTTACAAATTGATCTGCACCTGTGGTGACTGCTATATCGGGGAGACGAAACGACACGTCTCTGACCAAATTCGCGAGCACAAATCAGATTTGAAACACGGCAGAACGAATTATTCTGCCGTAGCTGATCACTGTTACAACGATGTGGGTGATCACGATATAGTTTTCTCCGATACCAAGGTTCTCTGCAAATCCACGGGTTTTTATCAGAGATTTGTCCACGAGGCAATTCAGATTTACAAACACAGACACAATTTAAACCGAGAGGATGGTTTCAAATTAAGCAATCATTGGAAAGATGTTCTAAATCGAACCAAACATTAAACTAATTTTCAATGGTACAGTATATTTATTCAAGTAGTGGTATCCCAAACTTTCACAGTAGTACATCATTTTATACTAATTCCTTTGACAAGGCGTGTTTTGTTTCCTCCCACACAGCTTAAAGGACGCGACCTGGGCTTGGCTGTCTTCACTCCAACGCTGTCCTCTGGACAGTCCGGTCCCTTCACCTGATGAAGGCCACTTGTGTTGTGGCCAAAACGTCGTGATTTTTGTTGTTTTATTTTTTACCTACGTGACTTTACCGAATAGAACCAAAGAGTATGGATCCTTGCAGTCACGAAAGCTTCAAATCTAGAAAATATATGTTAAGTTTATTAGCTGTACGTTTTATTTTGACACGGGTAAACCCCCATTGGGCAATCAAAGCCCATTTTTCATTGGGGACCTCATCCCTGTCAACCTTTTATCAGTTCCATACCTTATTACAGACCAATTCAAACATTATTGGTCACCCCGTGGTGCCCTTATAAATCTCAACGTTCATCCTATACACTACACTATACACTACATTACATATTCGTCAACCCCTTCTCAGTGTCTAACTTATTACAGAGCAATTCAGACATTTATTGGTCACTTCGTGCCCTTATAAATCTCAACGTTCATCCTGTAAAGTGCCATCACAAGGGAGAAAGACAAACACACAGACAATTTTATTTGCCCCGTATTGAAACGGACCTGAAAACTCAATTTCCCTGTACAAGAATACGGGGTAAGCCGTACGAGCTGACATGTATCGGACCTGGTTACTAAAAACCTGGTTACAACAACACAAAGAAAACCGTGAACAATCCAATAAATAACTTTACATGGTTAAATTCCCAATGGCAAAGGCTGTGCATGAACACGGTACAAACAGCACAAAGACGAACACAAGGCTAACATAGCAGACAAAGCCCACTGAGCTATCAGCTTTTTTTCTTCTTCAGAGGTAACCTGGCCTCCACATGATGGCCCATCGAAGTGGCTTTTTTCGTCCTCGTCACCACACGTGGGAATTTCTAGGAGCAGCCAAATAATCTGCACGCGTGTCGATTCGAAATAATGCAGAGGAGTCGCAAAGCAGCGAGGAACCCGGCTAAAATTCCACGCGACCTCCACGTGGGAGAGAGAAAGAGATCACACGGACTCCAAATATCCAACAACAAACAACAAGAACGGACATCGTCAGGGTCCGGGATCGAACCCATGTGAACTCCTTGAGTTGCAGGCGAGGGAGGTGCCGACTGCTTTCCGTCTGAAGTCATTTTTTTCGGAACAATCCGAAATGAAACTCCAACAAATTCGTAACGATCACAAATTTTCGTGCATAGGGTGCGCGAATTTGGATGTTCAATTTGTTGTATGACGGGGGAGCCATTTCATCTGAACGTCGGAAATACGTCGCCTTAAAACACCAACACACACACACGTGATGCAAACATAACCATGACAAAGACAAAGATCTCTCCCGGAAGTCTGTAACAGACTGTTGGGGCAAGTGCTGTTAGCGAGTAGCGCCGATGAAGGCCGGCACGCCACAGAAGGGGGTGGGTGGCCGCCACCACGCCCGGCCGCCTTTGTCTCCCCAGTGGGGATGCTTACTAGACACCGCACCAGATACTCATGTGAGGCCGAGTCGACCTAGGGGAGGCCCAGGACCCATTCAGATAATTGTCACCGGTGGTTTGGCCGTGAGCGGGAATCAAACGAGTGTTACCAGGTTTGTAGCGCAGCGCGCTAACTGCTACACTACCGCTCCCCACATTCAGGACACACACACACACATCCAGGACACACACAGGACACACACAGGACACACACACACACAGGACACACAATCAGGACACACACAGGACACACACAGGACACACACAGGGCACACAATCAGGACACACACAGGACACACACAGGGCACACACACACACACAGGACACACAGGACACACACAGGACACACAGGACACACACAGGACACACACACACACAGGACACACACACACACACACAGGACACACACACACAGGACACACACACACACAGGACACACACACACACACAGGACACACACACACACAGGACACACACACACACAGGACACACACACACACAGGACACACACACACAGGACACACACACAGGACACACAGGACACACACACACATTCAGGACACACATCCAGGACGGACACACACAGGACACACACACACAGGACAAACAGGACACACACACACAGGACACACACACACAGGACACACAGGACACACACACACAGGACACACACACACACAGGACACACACACACACAGGACACACACACACACAGGACACACACACACACAGGACACACACACACAGGACACACACACACAGGACACACACACAGGACACACACAGGGCACACACACAGGACACACACAGGACACACACACACACATCCAGGACACACACACAGGACACCCATACACACAGGACACACACACATACGCATACCCCTCAAACCTAATATACATACACACAAGCCTACATGCACACAACGTACACGTACATATACATGCATGTACAATTATACACAAATGTATGTCCTGTATGTTGAACTTCTTTCGCACCGTACGCATAATATACCCCGCGTATAGTAACACAATCGTCTATACACACACACAGACGCGCGCGTACACACAAAGACAAAGGCCCTCTGTGTAGCCTACACGGGCTATTGGGGGCAAGTGCTGTCAGCGAGCACCTATTAAGGCCGGCACAACACACGAGCAGTCAGTGGTCCGGGCAACACCAGGCCCAGCCGCCTTTGTCTCTCCCGTGCCGGCGCTCACTCTTCATTTAAGGCCGAGTAGACCTTGAGCGGAGGAGGACCGGTTCAAGACTTCGCCACTGACGTTAGCCGGGAAGATCGGGATCCGTAACGCAGTGCGCCAACCACTGCACCACCGCTCCCCACGAATGTACACCCGCATTACATTTATACTGCAAGAGTAATGTGTTAATACACACAGTACATCTACAGTACATACATCTAGACACGTGTGCATACTTCTCTAAGACACATATACAAACATCTACACACATGTACATGCAGTATACATACGCGTATACACACGTACACACATTCAATTACATACACACATCTGTACCGTTACACACGTACATCTACGTGGGCACGTGCATACATCTGTACCCATGTACATCTATACCCACACACATGGGCATGCAAAGCGAACACATGCACAGTCACACAGATGCGCATGTACACACTTCGTCTGTACACGTGCACAATACACAGAGAGAGAGAGAGGGAAGGGTGGGAGGAGGGGAAAGACAAAGCGTGGTGCGGATTTCTCCTTCACCTCTTGCTGTGGTTCTTCTCAACCCGGCACCACCACCACCTCCTCCATCACCACCACCACCTCCTCCATCATCATCATCTCCATCATCTCCTCCTCCTCCTGCGCCTGCCTCGAGCAGCGATCTCGCTCGCAAATAGAGGCGAGGGGGAGAGCGGAGGGAGGAGGCAGTGGGGAGGGATGGAGGGAGGAGGGAGTGGGGAGGGAGTGGAACAAATAAATAAACAATCATCTCATTCATTATTTAATTATTACACAATAATCGCACTTTCGATTCCTACGATCGATTCCTACGCCCCCCACTGCTCATTTGCGGGGGCAAGGAGCGGGTTACGGGTCGAGCGGGTCGGTGGGGGGGGTCACGGTGGTAGGGAAAGGAAATGGAATCGATCGTCTCCGAATGTAATCGATTATTTCATATTCGATTCCACGGTGCGAAGAGAGCAAAGTCGAATTGTAGGAATCGGTTAAGGTTTAATCGACGGAATCGATATCCCCCCCCGGCCACACAGCGCGCGTGTGAGTTCTGCACGCGGTGGCAAGCTCGCAAATCGATTCCCTTAAAGCTGCGCCCTACAGAATCGATATTACCATCAGACGTACGAATCTACAATATCAATGTATTGCACTTAGCGGCTGTACCCAAAAATATAAGTGCGTTTGTTTATTAATCTGTTTAATAACGTTCCAGCCATGCAGTGTGTATCCATGTCCGATATTGCCGTTAAACATTAAATCAAGGGTGAAATACGGAAACGATGCGAACGAAACTAGAATCGATTCCTCTCGATCATTACGCAATGCCTCTGGTCCATGCACACGTACACACACACACACGTGTGTGAATGTGAGTACACACGCGCGTGTGTGTGTGCATGTGCAGGTCTACGTGGACACGTGTGTGTGTGCAAGTGTGTACACACGTGTGCATGTGAGTACACGTGTGTGCATGTGAGTGTGTACACACGTGTGTGAATGTGAGTACACGTGTGTGCATGTGTGTGCATGTGTGTGCATGCGAGTGTATGCAAGTGTGTACACACGTGTGTGCATGTGTGTGTGTACACACGTGTGTGAATGTGAGTACACGTGTGTGCATGTGTGTACACACGCGCGTGTGTGTGTGCATGTGCAGGTCTACGTGGACACGTGTGTGTGAGCAAGTGTGTACACACGTGTGCATGTGAGTACACGCGTGTGCATGTGAGTGTGTGCAAGTGTGTACACACGTGTGTGAATGTGAGTACACGTGTGTGCATGTGTGTGCAAGTGTGTACACACGTGTGTGAATGTGAGTATACGTGTGTGCATGTGAGTGTGTGCAAGTGTGTACACACGTGTGTGCATGTGTGTACACACGCGCGTGTGTGTGTGCATGTGCAGGTCTACGTGGACACGTGTGTGCATGCGAGTGCGTGCAAGTGTGTACACACTTATGTGCATGTGTTTACGTACACGCGTGTGCATGTGTGTACACGTGTGTGCATGTGAGTGTGTGCATGTGCGTACACGTGTGTGCATGTGAGTGTGTGCAAGTGTGTACACACACACACACACGTGTGTGCATGTGAGTGTGTACACACACGTGAGCAATGCGTGTGCTCACAGATCCTTGAAAGATCTGGACATATTCCGATCAGTGAGCGCCTCCGGCAGGCGAGGCTGCGTTGGCTGGGTCGCGTAGCCCGCCTGCCTGCCCAGCCACCGCCTGCCCAGCCACCGCCTGCCCGATCAGCTTGTGTGTTGGGGGCCGTCCATAAATGACGTCACGCGATTTTTGACGATTTTTGACCCCCCCCCCTTCATCACACGGCGTCACAAAAAGTCAGACCCCCCCCCCCCTAAAATATGACGTCACAAAGCTCTGAACCTCCCCCCCCAAAAAAAATAAAACGTGCTTTAAATCGCCTTAAACTATTGTCATTGTAGTGCGTATTTAGTGTGGCGCTGCACTCTGATGTTGTAGGAGAAAACATTTATTAAAAAGTCTATTTAATTAAGTAGAACGTGTTGTCTATATTTATTTAAAGTTGCGCATTTTTATGTGACGTCACATTTCTCACCCCCCCCCCCCTCGTCACACATCGGCACAAATGTCTGACCCCCACCCCTAGGTGCGTGACGTCATTTATGGACGGCCCCTTGACGGATAGAGGGGGGGGGGATAAACGGGCAGGGGCTAGAGAAGAGATGGAGCTGGAGCTGAGTTAACTTGTCGATGACCGGTACCAGCGGCGTCAAGATCGACCTCTGTGGAAGGAGGAGGCTCGTGAAGGACGCTGCTGCTGCTGGGCAGTTGGAGGCAGTCGCCCTCCAACAACAGCGGAGGGCAGAGGGAGCGACGCTCACAACAACGAGCGGAGCGCCGGGCGGATAAAAGACAGCGAGTTGGCACAGCCGGTCTGTCAGTCATCTCAGTAGTCAACCCATGGCACCTGCTGGGTCTGTTCCGTGACCTGTCAGCAACGAGCCATTGACACTTCGCGTATCCTGAGCGTGCACTTAGCCTGGCACAGGCGCCGTGACGTCACCGCCACTTATTGTTGATAACGAGTCCTATGTGTATGCATATGCAGCCTAAATTATAGGTACACGTGTGTCTTCGTGTGTTGGGCGTGTACTGCCTATGGGCGTATGCACGCAGTGTGTGCATATGCCCATGCATGTACGTACACGTGTACATCCACGTGTACGTACACGCGTGCCAAATACACGTGTGTGCAATGGTCCCGTGTTAGAATGTATGCGAGTGAACATTCTCTCCGCGTGACGCGCGTGTGTGTGCGCGCACCCACGTGCTCATGCAGTCAGTACTCACTGTTGATGCCCCACGCATTAAAGGGCACGCGTTGCATGCCGGGCTGATGTAATCCGTTTAAATCCCGAGGGCTCACGGGTAATGGCGTTTGGCGTGTGAAGGGAGACTGAATCGTTTAGCCATCGCCAATCGTGTTTGCCAGGATCAGTGGGAGGGAGTTCACACAAAATTTGAATATTTATAATGGGGGAATCCGATCAGTTATAAAGCTCTTTTCCTTCTCGCAAATGTCCCAAAAAAAATTATCCTCCATATTTCTACAAAGTCCACTTTTTTTTCTTGCGAAATGTTCTTTAGTAATTGTCGGGCAGCAAGTAGTGAGCGAAATGGACAAGGTCTGATCTGATCAGTGGTGCCACAACAAAGGGTGGTTTGATGTTTCAGTTGAAGGGACATTCATAAAGGGTGATCCATTCAGAGATGCTCCACTAAAATATTGCATGGAATCTTTTATTACGTTTTTGGGATTTTTTTAAAAGTTAAAAGCTGCTGCATGTCTCCCATCAAGCTCAACATACTTACTATATATTTTGTAAACACGTTTTTTTTTTTATTTAGAAGATATAAAGACAACATTTATTTCACAATATTGATAATAACAAGTATGAAAAATTTCTGTTGTCTCTATAAATGGATCGCCCTATATTTTTCGGATTACAAAATTTCACAGCAATGAGCTTACGTGGTCAATTTTTTTTTTACAGATTTTGGAAATCATGTACGCGTGTTAACTAAAACGTGAATGGCTATGAGAAATATAAGAGACAGAAGTACAAATTGTGTTCGAGGAAATAAAGAGAAATCCTAAAAATCTATTCAACAAACAAACATCTGGAACCCCCCCCCCCCCCCAACGCTCCACCGGTACCTCGCCCCTCCCAGTGCCTATCACGTGCCTCACAGTTCAGGAATTATCGTAAGGACAGCAATTGTTTTAAAAGCAAAACTAAGAGCTCTTCTGGGCAATGATGATGAGCATTGGGACACAGGTGGAACAAGTACATTGCCCTTCAAGGGGTTGCTCACGCAGCGAGAAAGAAAGAACGGTTCTACAAAGGTCACTCACGGCTGCGTCAGGTCACGAGCCTTTTGATCACCCAAGTGTTAAAAAGCGCCACCTTCATGTTATATTTGAGATATGTGCAGTGGTGTGCAGCAGAAAAAAACTCGCATTGTAATAGCTGGAGAGTCCTTTACACCACACACCCGAACAGAGAATAATACATTTAATGTATTTTTGAAAGTTAACCGTCTATTTTTCATTTAGCATATTAAAAAATATATATAACGCAAATACAGTAAAACCTTGGATTGCGAGCATAATTCGTTCCGGAAACGTATTTGTAATCCAGAGCACTCGTATATCAAAGCACTCCTATGTCATTTGTGATCACGTGATGCTCGACAGACAAAGCGTATACGTACACTACTCGTATTGCAAGACCCTCGCTCGTTTATCAAATTAATATTTATTTTAAAAATTTGCTCGTCTTGCAAAACACTCGCAGACCAAGTTATTCGCAATCCAAGGCTTTATCTACTTTTTTTCTTTAAAGATGTTAAAGAGCGCCTTCGGTAAAAAGGCGATTGCCAGTTTTAAAATAACGGTGTTTAAAAATAAAGGTCCGTGCAAGGATTGAGGAATGAGTGGCCGTGATAGAGGGTACTTAGGTCGACTCAGCCTCAAATGAGTACCTGGTGCGGTAAGTATCGCCACTGGGGAGACAAAGGCGGCCGGGCGTGGTGCTGGCCACCCACCCCCTCGTGTACCGCTCCGGCCTTCATAGGTGCTCGCTAACAAGCACTTACCCCGACAGTCTGTTAAGGCTACACGGCGGATCTTTGTTTAGGGATCACAAAGGGGTGGCTGATCACGTGTAAATTTATAGAAGCCACAACTCAAACCAGTGTTCTTCATTGCAAGGTCCCACGGGCCACTGGCGGCCCCCCACAATACACACCACGTGTGAAAAGACCCCTTGCAGGCGGTGTGGGCGGCCCTCGCACAGATGATGTCTTGTCGGGGAAAGTGCCCCCCCCCCCACTCTGAAAATGAGTGAAGAACACTCCTCTAAACTCACGTTGATTCTAAATGTGGAGAGAAAAAACCGACAGTGGGGAAAATGTGCAAACTCGAACACATGACTTCCTGTATACCAGGCGAGGTAGTTAACATCTCGCCACTTGTGGGGAGGTCTTCATCCAGCAGTGGATTGATCATGGTTGATGATAAATTGTAAGATATATTAAGAACTTTAGCAAAGGATTGTCGATAATGTTTTCCCAGGCGAGTAAAAAAAAACCCGAAAAAAAACACTGAAACCACTGTTATTATGTACAAACCACTCGAAATTTCTCACCTCAACATTTTTCCCAACGCAAACCAAAAACGTATAGGGACACCGGAAAAAAATACCCTGAATTAATTATGAAATAAGGACATTGTGTACATTTGGTATTTCCTCCGTTCTCAAAGCACAATGGCTTTCGTTAAGGGGAAGGGGGGGGCTGTGTCACGGATGGGTTTAGTCTGCCAGTAGGGGGAAGTGTTGCATTGTGGGTTTTACCCGATTAAGGAATTTGTGAGTAATTTTCAACATTTGACAGATTTTGACTGTGACGCCAGTAAACACGGTCAGCTCCTAATTGTTAACTACTAGGTAGGAGTCTGAGCAACAACTACACTAGACTCTGTGCACGTGTAGTGACGTAGAAGCGTTCACGTAGCGCTGGCTGCTGGCAAGGAAGGGGATCTGCAGCTTACAGCAGCCCTGACTGACAGCAGGCCACGTGATAGACCAGAGAGGGATGTAGGGGAATGGTTACGGAAGGGGCACAACGAGAACCCGCTAGTAGGTTCCAGAAGGGGGGCGTGGCCGTGGGCGGAGCCAGGCCACTCTGAGAGTATAAGAGGGGCCCCGGGAGGGGACCTTGGGGCTGCTGTTTGCAGTGGGATCCCCGTGCTGCTGCTGGAGTCTTCACCATCTCGGCG